TTCATCAATGGCGAATACGACGAGCCTCGAAAGTATTTTCATGCGAAAAGCGATCAAATAAAAGAATCAAGCGCCACAAAGAAATGGAAAATTCCTCACAAGAAAAGACCAGGGAGACAAGAACCAGGGTTTAACCAGGATTATTCGCCTCCCAAAACGCATCCACCCGTCCATAATTGATGGATGCTCGATCGATCAAGATCGTACGGCCACCATTTTTCTTGATTATTTTAGGAATATTCTCATTTTTCTGAATATTTTAGGAATTTATTGTGTTATTTTTTTCTTGAATACTAATGATGGAAATACTATTATTAAATAATTAATAGAATATAAAAAATATATATACAAAATCAATTTGAAAAGTAGATGATTAATTTTCAGATATGATAAATTTATAATATGTTGGTAAGTTTTAGTGGACTGTCGTTGGTCAACCTTAAAGTCCAACAAAAAACAAGCCCCAAGGTGCACCAATTCAAATCAGCTTCCACTTCTAATTGAAAATAAATAGAATAAAATAAAATAAAATAAAGCAGCCCTTTCGATATACATCAAATAATGAAATCAATCCCCCAAATTTTCAGATCCCAATTACATGTGTTGTTAATTAATTAGTGTCGTATAAGTAATGTGGGATACTATCCAAGTTTGCCCTAAGATGTTCAAAACACACCAATCTAATAATCATATATAAAATAATAATAATTAGTGTAGTATAAGTAATGTAGAGCTAGTAATACTTTCGGTTGACAAGATTCACACTTATTGAACACGCTACAAAAGTTAAGTCATCAGTTAAATGTTATTATTCATTAGACAAAGTAGATCAATCGGAGATAAAGAAGTTCTAGATATATGAAGGGAGTTTTGACCAAGTTGTAGATATTTTAGGGGGGTCTTTATCAAATTTTCGATGGAGAGGGGGAGTAAAGAGGCCTCCGTTGTCGTTACCCTCTAGAGATTAACTAGAATTTCCTTGAAAAGCTCTCCAGAGCCATTGGCAACCATATAATTGAATCAATCACCGCCATCGATTAGTGAGTGAAATAATATAAATAATAGTCCATAAATGGTGGTCAAACAAGAGAAAAACTAGTCACTAATATAACCCTATATAGTAAGCTACATGTTCCTTAAGTTCGAAGGGAAGGCCCCACCCAGGTTGCGCGGGCCCCTCGTCTTCGATCAGATTGAGTACTACCGCACCACGGTGTTGGTTGATTTCTAGGGCTAATGTTGGTTGATTTATAGGGCGGCTGCTTCCGCCGCAGCACAATGGGACTCCTCCGCCGCCGCAGCCCTGTTCGAATCATCCGCCCCCTCGGCTTCAATCAATTTCTCCATTAACTCTTTTTTCTTTTTTTTTTTTTTGAATTTTTAAATTCTAATCTCGAGCAACTTTTATATATACAGAATCCAATTTGATTGGTTTGACATTAATCACCACCAAACCCCTTAGCTAATGTCAAATTCAATCAATTTCTCCATTAACTTTTTTTTTTTTTTTTTGAATTTTTAAATTCTAATCTCGATTTCCGATACTCACTTTACTCTCTGCAACTACTCAAAGTATTATTATTTTTAAATCTATGAAGATGTTTTTTCGCAACTTTTTATATATACAGAATCCAATTTGATTGGTTTGACATTAATCACCACCAAACCCCCTTAGCTAATGTCAAATTATGGAAAGACTCCCCCACCCCACCCCTTTTGTTTGTATATAATTACAACTAACTCCTCAACTATGAATGACCAATATCTTCTACATTCCCTGGAATCTTCTAGATGCTGGTCGTATTTTAAATTTTTTTCTCTTTCTTTTTCTTCTTTTAATTAATTAGGATTTATTGCATTCAACAGCAATGTATAATGTATAAAATGGAATTATAAGACAATAATATGGTAGTATATATCT